AGTTGAATATATTTGTTGGTAATTCCCAGAAGGGTCCAAATTGGAATGACAGGATATTGAAAGTTTTTAATGTCAGGAGTAGGTTACTTGGAGGAATGTGTTGATATAAAGAAGAACAGAAGATCTGGGCCAGACAAAGTCTGTAAGTCAATTAGGAGAGGACCAGCCAAGAAGTTTGAGAAGTGAGGAAGAAGTAAAACAAGCTGCCCATAGCATTTCAAGGAGTGTGTGGGTCAGTGAAATACTGCTGGGAGGCAACTAGATAAATACAGAGAAGAAACTGTAAGGGGACAAATAGGTGAGGGTGGTGGGAACATGAGGTTGAGAGAATAATTCTATAAAATGAGCCCACGAAAATGACTCCCCATGTTTTTTTTTGCCAAAAAGCAATCTCCCCTCCCTCCCACCAATTAGTTGCTAAAACCTCTGAATCTCCAGACCCCAAATTCCTGGGGATCTACACTTTCCAACCTGAGCAATAAACCCCTGTGCTGCTCCTTCCTGCCTTTAGGCACATATATGAAGAAGAAAGAAAAGGTGGGGATTCTGGAGGCCTATAAAAAAGCAAGACACACCCCTCTCTCAGACACCCAGCTCTGGGCCCCACTTCTCTCCAGAGAAGTCAATATCTGTCTCTCTCTTAAATAAAACTTGCTTTCATGCAAGAAATAAGATCAAGAATCAATAAATGGGACACTATCAAACTAAAAAGCTTCTTCCCAGCAAAGAAAACAATCAAGAATATGAAGACAGAGCATATAGAATGGGAGAATATCTTTGCCACCTGCACTTCACATAGAGCATTAATGTACTGGATATATAAAGAACCGAAAAAACTTAACACCAAAAAAACAAATAACCCACTCAGTGCCCAAAGGAACTGAACAGACACTTCACTGAAGAAGTATGATTGGTCAACAAATATATGAAAAAATGTTCAGCATTTCTATCAACCAGATAAATGCAATTAAAACCACTCTGAGATTTTATCTTACTCCAGTCAGAATAGCAATTATCAAGAAAACAACTAACCATAAATGTTGGTGAGGATGTTAGGAAAAAGGTACACTCATACATTACTGGTAGGATTGCAAATTGGTACAACCACTCTGTAAAGCAGTATGGAGATTTCTTAGAAGACTTGGAATGGAACCACTATTTGATCTAGTTATCCCACTCTTCAGCATATACCTCAAAGACTGAAAATTAGAATACTATAATGTTATGGCCACATTGATGTTTATAGCTGCTCAATTCACAAAGGCTAAGCTATGAAACCAACCTAGGTGACCTTCAACAGATGAATGGATAAAGAAAATGTGGTACATATACACAATGGAATATAACTCAACCATAAAGAAGAAATTATGAAATTATGGCATTTTTTGTTCAATGGATGGAACTGGAGACTACCATGCTAAGTGAAATAAGCCAATCCCATAAAACCAAAGGCCAAATGTCCTCTCTTTGACATGCAGATGCTGACTCACAATGGTGGAGGGGGGGAGAAGTGGAGGTTCACTGTATTGGACAGAGTGGAGTTGGGGGAAAGGAAGGGGTATGGGAATGGGAAAGACAGTAGAATGATTTGGGCATAGCTTTCTATGTTCATATGTGAATATACAACCAGTGTAACTTCACATCATGTACAACCACAAAAATGGGAAGTTGTACTTCATAAACATATGATGTCAAAATACTTTTTACTATCATGTATAACTAAAAAGAATAAACAAAAATATTTAAAAAAAAAAACTTGCTTTCTTCACTTGCCTCAGCATTTCTCAGTTATTTTATTTTCAATACTGGGGGAAGGAGGGCCCATTCCTGATATCCAAGACCAGTATCAAAACCATTGGCTTTGTCCATCCAAGGGAGATGTAGAAGAGGTGTAGCCAGCCAGGGTAAGATGCTGAGTGAGAAGTCATGGATAGGTCCAGATCAAAGGAGCATGGAGAAGTCCTCCACTGAGGTCAAGTTCCAAGTTGATGAAAGTGCTCATTGTAAGATATGAAAAATGACAAATCCCCAAATAATGTGGCCAGGGAAGAGGGAGTGAAGAAGAAGGCAACACATTGATAACATTGATTCTTTCCCAATACATCCTTTTCCAATGACAGGACAATCCCTGGGAAGAAAGCAAACTTCACCAGATGGCAAGACAATCCCTGGGAAGGAGATATGCATCAAGCCTAAAACAGCAATCTCTGGGAGGAAACCAAAGCAGTAATCTTTCCCCAAATAAATCCTTTCCCAGTGACAGTACAATGGAACCCTGAAGTGAAAGAGATAAGCACTGAATGATGACCCCAGACCCTCCATTATTCCCCAAAGAAAACCATTGCCCAGTAAAAACAGATTTCAAATTCTCACAAATCTGTTTCCTGAATGCCCAAACTGACACACTTTATCATGAATTAAGTCACCTTTCAGTGCAGCCTATATAAGCACAGATTCCCCCTTTGGCCAGTAGCTTATTTCATCAGGAAAGTGGGTCCACCAGATGCAAAACTCCACTGCTGAATAAAGGCTTTGCTGATCCATAACATTCTGTGCTAACACTCACACAAGTAGAGGACCCAATCAGATAGTCACTTCTGTACTCATGCATCTAAGTGGGGGATCCAATAAACCAACTAAAATGGATGCATGGTGAGGCACCAATGAACAACAGAAGAACATGGACAATAGAGAAGATAAGAAAAGGAGGAGGGCTGGGGATGTGGCTCAAGCAGTAGCATGCTCGCCTGGCATGCATGCGACCCAGGTTTGATCCTCAGCACCACATACAAAGATGTTGTGTCCGCCGAAAACTAAAAAAATAAATATTAAAAAATTCTCTCCTCTCTCTCTCTCTCTTAAAAAAAAAAAAAAAAGGAGGAAATCCAGAGACTATCAAAAACGATCCAAACCTTGTGGCTCTGGAGCCCCCTCTCTTCAGAGAAGTCTATTTCTACAGTTTGCAATAATCCTCTGTGTCCTGTTCAATTCTTTGCTGAACAGCAACGAGTCCAAGACCCCTAGACAGTAACACATACAGATCACTAGTGTTCTCTGGAAGGGCCATAACTGGAGTGGAGTGAGGTTAGGAGAGATGTTGAGATGAAAAGTGTAATGGAAACTATTTTCATTTGATCCATGGGGGCAGTGCACATTTTGGTTTGCATTTGTATTCACAAATGTTTGGTGAAAAAAAGTCTCGTTTATTATGGTCCTACCTCTCTCCTACCATTTTGAAATTCTAATCAAGGATCTCTGTACCCACTAAAAAAAAATTGTTTTTGGAAAAAAAAAAAAAAACAACATTCATCTCACAATGCACTGATCTGTGTTGCCTAGTTAATCACTGTCCATACAAGATACAAGGAAATGTAACCAGGATCACTTTGTTTTGAGTATAAACCTTGTTGCCAGACCTCAGGAGGCTTGATTTTTATTTATGTATTTATTTTTAGTACTAGCCATAAAACCCAAGGGTGCTTAACCACTGAGCCACAACCCTGGCCCCTTTTATGTTGAGACAAGTTCTCCCTAAATTGCTTAGGGCCTTGCTGAGGCTGGCTTTGAACTTTTGATTCTCCTGTCTCAACCTCCCCAGCCGCTGGGATTACAGGCATGCGCTATCACGCTGGGCTCAGGTGGCTTATTTTTTAAAACTGACATGTTTTTTTCTTCTTTCCCTTCTCCTTCTAACATAAGGGAAACAAGACTAACATTTTCCAGTCCCAGGCTAAGCTATTATGCCCTTCACTGGAAAAGTGTCATTGCCCCCAAGAACAAAGAAAACTCCAAACCTAAGAACTCAAGCTCAAGGACACCCAGTGGCTGTTCACTAATTATATCTACTGATAATGAAGCCAGATTTAAAGTTAGGTAGTCAGTATAGTTAGATAAATCGGGTCTAATACCGAGTGAAATCTAAAATGGAGGCCGTGCTGAGAATGATTCCAGGAAACGCAGGACAACTCATGGAATGTTAATGAAGTCCTGAAAAGGCCCTAGGCCAAAGTCCATCCCAAAGAAGTGTTAATGAAGTCCTTCCTGCTCAGACTACTTCTTTGGCCCACCTGTTTCCCACCCCTCGGGCCTTCCCACCTACATTCCATTACTGAAAGAACTATAAAATGGGGAGACAACAGCCCTTCCACGGATTCCACCTCTTGGGTCCCCTTCTTCCTCCAGGAGAAGTCTTTTCTGCTGTCCTTTAATAAACTTCTAATTTCTACTCTGACCTTGCCTCCACGTGCTTCTTTGGTGTTATTCTTCAATATTGGGGAAGCAAGGACTCCTCACCGGTCAACAGCAGTAACAATAATATTTGGATCCCAGCCCTTAAATGTTGCTCTTTAAAGCCCTGGGCTCCCGCAGGCAGAGGGGATCACAGCCTCTGGCACAGTAGTTCACTGTGTTTCGCCAGCAAAACAAAAAACTTTTTTTTCCCCTCAAACCTGTCCTCCTTTTTGGACTGGTAATGGGGACAAGGATCATGCTTTAGATAACAGAAAGAGTACTCCATAATATTCCTTCTGCACCTTCTCATTGTATTATCCCTCAGAAAGGTCAATCAATATTTTGACTCCTATCAACATCTGTTAACTTTATTACAAAAATTTTCAAAGAAAGAAATAAAAACCATGAGGTACATTTAATTGGGAACTGCCTTAGTACAAACTTAACAGTCAGATAGACAACCATCTGGCGCCACGGTTTTGGCGCCAGCGTTGTTCCGTAAAGCCCTGCCCCACTGCGCCTCTAGCCCCATTTCGGGATTTTCCGGGGCCTGGTCTCGCCAAACCCCGGGAGACAGGGGCGCACATACGGTGGACGGAAAAGGCACCGACTTTCTGTCATGCGCACTACGGCCGGCGCGCTTTCCTCTCTCCCTCCTCCACCACCCACCGGGAGAACTGGTCATGCGCAGTGAGTATGCCCTGGGCTCGCGCGCTTCGCCGCGCCGCCGTGCGCATGAGCGGAGCTGCAGGCCAGAGCGGAAGTGGGAACTGCTGCGGGGAGGCGGGGCTGCGGAGCTGTCCGAGGGGTGGGCGAGAGGCGGTCATGGCGCCCTCCGGGCGTCTCGTGATTCCTCTGACAGTGTTGGTGCTGTTGCTTTGGGGGCTTCCGTGGATCCACGGGCGGCGGAGTGACGTGCGTGTCATCACGGACGAGAACTGGAGGGAGTTGCTGGAAGGAGAATGGATGATAGAATTGTGAGTGTGGAGCGTTTGTCCCGCGACGCCGGCAGGGGTCCCTCCGATCCCGCACACCCGACCTCATTCACTCTTCCTCTGGCAGGCCGCAGCTTTCCCCGGACTTCGCCTTCTAGTCGCCGAGTGGGCGCCCCAACTCCTCAGGATCCCCAGCTCCTCCCGGGAGCTGCCGCTGACTTGGTCGCATTCCTCCTGGTTTCCTACCTGGGAATATTAAGTTTCTTCTGCGCTCTGCTCCCGTGTTTCTTTTCTAGTGCTGTGGTGCGCCAAAGGACTTGTGCTCTTAACTTTTCTTCCTGGCTTTGAGATTGGGATTCGGACTGGATGGGGTGGAGGTGGCCTCAGACTTGTTCCCGTATAATATTGTTTTAGAATGATCCTTTACAGATGGGCGTTTAGACTTATTTTCGCTAAGCTTCGCAGAAGAGGATATTGAGCACAATCTCTGGCTTTATGTTTATCCTCAAGAATTATCCATTTGTGTGTTGGAATTTGGGACTTTTGTTTCATATGCTAAGTTGAAATAAGGTTATTTTAAAATATTCGTGCCCTCCTTCACACATTCTCTTTCTGCAAGTCATTTTTTTCATTGTGCATTCGAAATGTAGTGAATCCTTGAGTTGTGACTCCTAGACCTTTGTAAGTGATATTGCATTGAAAGATAAAATTATTACTGGGATTATTATAAACTCTTTTAAGAGCGCTAGCTTGCGGTAGTTTGAAGGAATTCATGTGTCTTGTGTGGTGGTTCTACTTTCAAGTCCTTTCTGCTGCTGTAGGAAATAACTGTCTTTGTTTTAGATGCTAAATTTTTTGATGATGGTGATATAATTTCAGTGGTATAACTAATTCTGGCCCAAAGCATCATTATTGTTTGAATATTGTCTGTATACTGGACACTACTAAGCACCTTTAAATACATTATCATATTTAATTTCCTAATGATAGTTAGTATTGTCCCATTATACAGAAGAGAAACAGATGCCTAAGTACCTTAATTGGCCTGTCCAGATATTGCTATACTGGCTTTCTTTGGACCTCCAAAAACATGCAGTAATTGTTAGAACACCTGCTTCTTTAACAAGGCTTAGATATTTTCCTGGATCATGGATGAAGAGTTACCAGTTAAGGAGACAAGTGGGGGTGGACATCCGGAAAGGACATTGGAGAAGACAGAGTCAGTAACTTTTGAATCATAAAAAATAAGAACAAAAATAAGATAGGGAAAGTATTTAGTATGCGTATAATCTGCAGCATGGTTGAAGGAGTTATCAGGCACTGTTGAAGCTGTGGAGGAGAGGAAGTATAACCAATGGCAGCATTTGTTTTTTCCATCAGTAGCTTGTTTTAGATTTGGGCCTGTAAAATATTTAATGTTAAACAGGATGTTAAGCAGTAGTGATTATGAGTTTATATGCAAAATACAGTCAAATATTACTTCAGGACATTTTTAATTCATTTGGTCTAACTGTAAATATAGCATCAGAAGAGGTATTAAGGAGAAAATAATGAACAAATTCATTGATGATGAGCTAAATTCAAATTAGAGCATCTATTAGAAATTATAGGATAGTGTTTTCCTTCTTTATCCTTGGCTAAAGATCCTAAGGTTCAAGAAGTCTTTAAAAAAAACACAGGATGCAACACATTGGAAAAAAGAAAGGATTGCTGGACAAGGTGGCACACACCTGTCATCCTAGCCCCTCAAGAGGCTGAAGCAAGAAGATCACAAGTTAGCCTCAGCAACCTAGTGAGACATTGTCTCAAATTAAGGAAAGGCTGGGGATTGTGGCCCAGTGGTTGAGTGCCCCTAGGTTCAGTCCTTGGTACCAAAATAAATAAATAAATAAATAAATAGGATTTAGTAGTCTGCTTTTAATTACAAGTAAATTATTTTCATTTACTCTATTTCTGATCAGAAGTTGTTATAGAGACGTTTTCATTATAACTTACTGTTAAGGAGTTTGAGATATATATAAAATACTAGTTTGTTTTATTCTACAGTGCTTATTTTGGGAATTTTTCCTAAAACAATCAAGAAAACATGAATACAGACACTGTATTTTTGTTTTTAAACATGTATAGGCTTCATTTGTTCTGGTTCCATAAGCTGAGGCAAATTGCAATCTACAATAAAGTAGAAAAGCAAAATTCTAGGGAGAAATTAGGACCTGGGAAGATTATGAATGCCATTAAAATGCTAGTCTGGTTGGCCATAGAATTTGTAAAACCAGGGTCCTGGAAAATGGTGGCCAAAAAATATTTGCTTAGTCTGCTTAGTATTTGGGGATTAGGTTTTGAAATAATATTTTTACATAAAAACACAGGTGTCTAGCTCCTTTTAATATGATTAGCCTTTCTTCCTGGAACAGCTATTTCTGTGGCAATCCTGCTGCATAGTAGTAGCTGCCTTAAGTTGGAACTTGTGTTTCCTCATTCACCATAGCCCAAAGTACTTTCTATTTTTCCAACACCTTGCATTTGACTCTGCACTATAAAATTGTTAAAATGGTAAACTTAAAAAAAAAAAAAGTCTCTAGCTTTCTGGTGGCTATATTGTAGTAGAAAAATCCAAGGGTTTTTGAAGAGTTGTTATTCATGTGAAAAAGCCCTTGTGTCTTTAAAAATTTATTCTCAGGGTTGCTTTATTATGGAAGGTTATGATCCTTAATTCATATTTCTTAGTATCCAGATTGTTAGGCCCACAGAACTGTTTTCATATGCATAAAATTAACTACTTTGTTATTTTCAGTTTTTAGTATAAAATATTCTTCATGAATTTTATGTTTAAAGTATTTTTCATAATTTTTTTCAATCCAAACATGAGTGATCATGAGAGCACTTAAGTTTTTGTTTTTAAACTTTATTTTAGTTATGCACCGTGGTGTCCTGCTTGTCAAAATCTTCAACCAGAATGGGAAAGTTTTGCTGAATGGGGAGAAGATCTTGAGGTTAATGTTGCAAAAGTAGATGTCACAGAGCAGACAGGTACAGTAAGTCTGGTTGGTTTTGTTTTTTTTGCCACTTGTGTTGAAATCTATTCTATTTTCCACATTAGATGCTCTTAACCTTTCATTACATTTTGAAAACAATGTTCTGCTTCTAGTTAAATTAGTCCACAGCTAGTTAAAACCCACTTGACTTATCATCTCTCTGTTGGGGGCTCAGCATGCAGTGACTGCAAAAAGCAGATTGGCTGGTTGTGTGTACAACTCATTCCTTGTTTGTTGCTCTAAGGGACTTTTGAGATATCTTTCTCTCCCTATTCCTGCCCATATAATTTTCTCTTATCTTTTTTGTGTTCCATTCTACTAGCATGTAAGGTTTCTTTGAGAAGTCTTAGAACACCGTGGTCCAAGTAGACATTGGCCAAGTCATCATTTGCAATTTACCAAGCTTCAAAATAAGGGCATGTTTCTTTCAAAGTCAAAGTCACATTCTCTGATTTGACTCTAAAATTGAATTTCAGATTTAATACATATGATTTGAGAATGTGGGCTGTTAGTTACAAAGTCATAAGGTAGTAGAGCCAAATACACTCTTGTCTTGGTCCCCTGCACAAGAGGTGGATCTCATCCTTGATGCTTCTGTTTTGACCAGCCTCAATCTTATTCTTGGTGGTCACAATAAACCTGTGTTCCTGGTTGTGCTGTCCCAAATGGCAATAATAGGATAACTTATTAATTTATTGATAATTTACCTACTGCAGCTCTCAAGAGTTGTATTTCTGGTTTAATCACACAATCTTTTGAGATATGTAATATACCATAGTACAGATAAGAAAACAGGTTAATTCTTGGCAGTGCTTGACACATGGTTAATAGCAAATGTTATCTGTAATTGTTATTGCCTGTCTTATGAAAGAGTCATAGTTTTCCATTTTTATCAAAAATATCAACTGCCTTTTTTCGCAAATATCAGGTGTGATTTGATCTGAGACCTAAGACATTGTATTTTCCCTGGACTCATCATTAGTAGTTTTAATCATACATTAGTGTAATTGACCAATTGCTTACACAAATGTCTTCAATATTCAAGCTTGGCAAACTTTTAAATTGAGCTATTATGCAGTAATGTGTTTTCTAAAGTTGCTTTAAGTGCATAATTTATATTAGGCATGATTTCCATATTCGTAATAGTATTTAAATAATTTAGAGTCACCTTATCCTTAGTGATTGTCCAATATAAAACCCGCTGTATGTTCTTTATCATTTGTAGGACTGAGTGGACGGTTTATCATAACTGCTCTTCCTACTATTTATCAGTAAGTATTTGAAGATTCTCAGTTATTGAGAAGGATGCATTATAGTGTAATCAGAATAGTAGGCCTCTCTTGGATCATTTTTGAAGAGCTGAGGTAATCTCATTCAGCAAGTATTTTAGCTCATTTTGCTTTTATCATACCGTAAGTTCCTTTAGACAGGCAAATGATCCATGAAGCAGTCCTTGTTAGAGATTTGGAATTGTTTGGAACATGATGCTCATGTGAAATTTTGTGATCCTGTTCAGCTCAGGAAATGATTGTAAGACCAGAGTGCTAGTAAATCCTTTGGGAAATAGGGTGAAAGGGAGAACTTGCTGTTTGCTGGAGCAGTTCCTGGAGAACACGGAGTTTAAATGAAATCTTGGAAGTAGAATTGTCAAGAGTGCAGGGTAAGCATTTCATTCTGTGGACGTTCTCATAAACAGGAGTGTGTTATTTTAAAAAAGTAGCTAAACTTGGGGGGAAAGTAGTGGGTGATAGGGTAGTGTTAAGTCAGAAGGAACAAGACAGTATAGTCTGCAATATCAGGTCTTTTAGTTTGATTTTATTGATATTCTAATCTGGAGATGGGAAATCTCAAATCTACCTACTCTGTACCTTAATGTCGTTTAGGTGGTCGGCTAAATATTAAGAGGTACTTCTCATTTAAAATTTCGAAGACAAGGTGGCAATTCTGTTGGGTGTGGTGGTGCGTGCTTATAATCCCAGTGACTCAGGAGACTAAGACAGGCGAATCAGCATTTTGCAAGACCCTGTCTCGATATAAAAAATAAAAAGGGTTAGAGATGTAGTAAGTAGTAGAGCACCCCTGGGTTCAATCCCCAGTTCTGCAAAAAGGAACAACAATAGAAAAACAAATGGGAAGTTCCTTGTGTATGTCTGTATCTTGTTTTTCCTTGTCCATTTTTTTTAAACTTTTTTTTTTTTTAAAGTCAGCCATCCTCCCTTTGTATCTATTTTTTTTCTGTATCCCATAAGTACTTCTGTCCCTCCCTTTTCACTCATTTCTTTTCCTCACATGCCCCTTAATTGGCTATAATCAGTATTCCTATTTCTTTTTTACTTCTCAATACCTCTGAACTGGTCTGGAATTTCCTGCCCTTTTTCTCTTAGCCATGGCATTTACCTTGCCTTTTTCTCTAATTTCTGCCTGTTGCAATCTTACCCATCCTTCAAAGAACAGTTTGCTTTCTATTAAAACTTTTGTGTTTTTGAGTGGGAGCTTCTTTGTGGTCTTTTTATCTGGATGGATAAAGAATCTCTTAACCCTGTGGTAGGTAGTGGGGAACTATTGAGTTTTTGCACTTGAGGATGCATTAAGACTGGAGAACATTTAGGACTATTTGACAGAATACCATACATACATTGGGAATGGGAAGGAGGATGTAGATGGAAGGACCAGTGCAAAATTGCCTTTAAGTAGAATCACTGAAGTCCCTGGGAGGAAAGCACTGTCCCAGATGCTCTCTGTAATTTAAAACAGGATGGCAGAAATGATGACCATGATGGAAAATACCAGGGGAAACCAAAAAAAACAACTTTAAACTTACAGTTTAAAAATAGCTAATAATTTTTATGTTTTAGGCACTATTTTAGTAACTTTTTATATGGCAATTCCTTTAAAATAAAAATAATTTTCTAAGATTTTTCTGCTTACTGTGCTTCATAATAACTTTCATACTTGGAAGAGTAACAACAAAATCTTAAGGTTTATGATTGTATTTGGGCTGTGATATCATCAGTAATAATTTAATATGCTGCTTCTGCATTCCTAATGCTTTTGAATATTAGGATTGTTTAAAATAAGGTGAGGAAATAGTGGAAACATACAAAATTTATTTCCTTTTGCTACTAATATTTAATCCTGATCTTTAGTTGTAAAGATGGTGAATTTAGGCGCTATCAGGGTCCAAGGACTAAGAAGGACTTCATCAACTTTATAAGCGAAAAAGAGTGGAAGAATATTGAACCTGTTTCATCATGGTTTGGTCCAGGTTCTGTTCTGTAAGTACAAGGGATTTTTCTCTTATTTACTTCAGAATTAATTGAAAGAGATAATTATATTTCATATAAATAAATATATGTACATAGTTTGTTTCTTGGACTCTTAAGGCATATTTAGATTCATTATGTATTTGATATTTTTACTTAGATCTTGTAAATCAAACAAATAACCTTGGTGCTTATTAAACTAGGTGGAGCTATTCTGCAAAATTAAGCTTAGTCCTTTTTAAGAAATATTTTTAGATGCTTAGATTGATATGTGTCATTAAAAACTTAATAGTGCCCCAAAGACTGGACAGTGTAATTGGACATGTGGTAATTTGAAAGACTCAAACATTTACCTGCATATTTTATCTTTAAATTTCTTGATTATTCTGCCCATCTGATTTGTATAAATAGTTGTTTGAACAATAACTAATGGTATGATTAATCCCTGAGCTAAAATTTAGTTGGGAGATAGATACCAGTTAGGATTGGGAGTGGCAAGCATATTTCTTACTACATTGTTGGAGTACAAGGCCTCACTGGTCATTCGAGAGATTTGGGAATGGTGAGGTTTGTGGAGGTCATCAGTGTTCTCTTCTTATTCTGGTCTCCTCAACATACTTGCTCTTGGGAGATGGGGTATTGGATCACCAACCATCAGAGAAAAAATGCTTTGGGTTCTGGGAGTGGGGGAAAAGTCTACTCTAAGCAGTATTTTGAAATTGAAGTGTGTCTTTTCCTTTTGTGCTTCCAAATTATTCTTTTTTGGTGGGGGGTGCTATTGGGGATTGAACTCAGGGGCATTCAACCACTGAGTCACATCCCCACCCCTATTCTGTATTTTATTTAGAGATAGAGTCTCACTGAGTTGCTTAGCACCTTGCTTTTTGCTGAGGCTGGCTTTGAACTCAAGATCCTCCTGTCAGCTTCCTGAGCTGCTGGAATTATAGGCATGTACCATGACACCTGGCCAGATTATTCTTTAGTTGTCAGAACTTCTCACTGAACCACCATGTCCAGTGCAATTGTGGAACCTAGTATTCCTGATATAGTTTAATTAGTGCAGACAACCGTGAGGTCACACAGAAATTTTAGCTCCTTGTTATTTGTGCTTGTGTATTTTTCCCCCCATATTGGGGATTGAACCCAGGGGCTGTCTGCCACTAAGCTAATCCCCAACTGATTTTATTTTTATTTTGAGACTGGGTCTTGCTAAATTGCTGAAGTTAGCCTCGAACTTGTGATCCTCCTGTCTTAGCCTCCCAAGTCTCTGGGGTTATAGGCCTGCACTGCTACACCTAGCTTCCCACTTGGCCTATTAAACAATGGAACTTAGTAACTGATTTTTGTTCTTTAAACTTCTTAAGTGAATCTTACCTTTTTCTGGTAGAAAAAGCAGTTGTTTGTAAGTTTCTGTTGAATCCTAAAGGTAGCAGGCTGTGCTTTTATTATTTGGAGACTGCGTACAGGGGGCACTGCAAGTGTAAGGTTGGCAGTTTCAACTGGCATTGAATTAAGCCATCCTTTCACTTGTGTGTGAAAAAGCCCTTGGCAACACCAACTTCTGCTTTTTGCTAGAGGGAATATTTTTGGAAACCCACAAACCCTTCTTTTTGAAGCATTTTTTTTAAACTGCCCATCTAAACTACCTGCATTTAATTATGTAAAAATAATTATTTTTACTTATGATGGTTTATTTCTTACATAGTCATTTATGTATTATTGGAAGTTGTCAAACTGTGCTATTATAAATTTTAATTTTTGATATAATAAGAGAAGTAATTTTGTTTTGGAGGTGCTGGGGATAAAATCCAGGGTCTTGTATGTGCTGGGCAAGTAGTCTGCCACTGTGTTACATCCCTGGAGAGAGGTGATTTTTAATTGGGAAAAATCATCTTAACAAGTGTTCCCGTTGTTCTGTGCTCATGTTTTGAAGTATTTTAAGGGTGAATAAGAATTGCCATTTCCATCTGATTTAATAGAGCTCAGAGTCAGTTGGTCAGTATTTTGAGAAACCATCAGATGAAAGTTAAAAGTGAATATTGAACTGGAAGCAGTTGTGCACACCTGTAATCCCTGCTACTTGGGAGGCTAAGACAGGAGGATCACAAGTTTGGGACCAGCTTCAGCAGTTTAGTGAGACCTTGTCTCAAAAGAAAAAGGGATAGGGGATGTAGTGCAGCATTAGAGTGCTTATTACCTAGGCATATGCAAGGCCCCGGGTTTAATCCCTAATACTGGGGGAAGAAAAAAGGAAAAGTAAAAGCCATCATCAAAATTATAAATAGAAAAAAAAAGAAATTACCAAGTATTTTGTTTATGAGATGATTAGATGGTGACAGCAATTTAGAAACTTACTTTTTCTGAGCAAAAAACCTTATTACAGTCACAAAGAGAGTGAGTGAGTGATTACTTTACAGTAGCAGTAATATCTGTTGTTGGGAAATTATGGAGTAGAAATAGAAAATATAGACAATGTTGTGTATCTTACTCAGTTTTCGAATCTCTTTTTTTTTTTAATTTTAGGATGAGTAGTATGTCAGCACTCTTTCGGCTGTCTATGTACATCAGGGTATGTATTAAAATATTTCTATTGTAAACTGTCATGTTTTTAAACAAACAATTTTTAGTTCATTTTTTTTTCCTTTTGATTTCAGACTTGCCACAACTATTTTATTGAAGACCTTGGGTTACCAGTTTGGGGATCTTACACACTTTTTGCTTTAGCAACTCTGCTTTCAGGACTGTTATTAGGACTTGTGAGTACTTCATTTTTAGAGCACTAAAAAGAAAATATTTTAAAATGATACATTTGCATTAGTTGTATTATATGTTATGATTCTATTTATTTTTACAGTGTATGATATTTGTGGCAGATTGCCTTTGTCCTTCAAAACGGCACAAACCACAGCCATACCCTTTAAGTAAGTATATTTTAACATTTTTTTGTTTGTTTGTTTATTTTTTGCTGTGCAAATCCAGGGCCTAGCACATGCTAATAAACACTCTTTACCTCTGAGCAATATCCCCAGCCCTAAAATGTTTATATTTGTATTCACTATAATTCCATTTGTTCCTGTAAACACAATTACACACTTAATAGGTTCCTGGTCAGCTTTGGTTCCTAAGTTTGGTCCCTAAGTTCCTACGTGGTCTCTATCAGTTGTGATATAAATGAAGGGGGAGGAAATGTGTACTTGGTGTGAGAGTGTGCTTTAGAACATTGTTATTTTCTTGACTCATAGAGAATTTCAATATTGCATTTAGCTTGTAGCTATTTAATGACATTGATCTGATATCAGTGTATTTGAATACTTCATGTTACTCATGGATCTGTTTCAGTATACCTGAGTCCAAATTCAATTTTTAGGTGAATATACTTCACTGTTAAAGTCATTCATTATGATAGTGACCATATTTGAAGATTTTTCTTTGTTTCAGCCAAATTTCATTCTTTTGGTAGAATATTGGAAAATGCAATTCCTGTAGCTGATTTGGATGGGCATTGACCTGAACTATATTGTAAAATGAATTTATATTATTCAAAGTATTTCTTGCTGCCTGTTGTAATACAAATACTTCTTAATCTTTTATTTTTGATCTTGGAAAATTTTGCTGGTGGTCGAAGCCCTCATACTTTCAGTTAGTAAAGAACTTGGACTTTGTTATCTATTGGCTTTTCAGCAACTTGTTAGTTGACTGTTCAGGTGATATGGTTCCCATTTTTTGGTTGAGGAAAATAAGGTTCAGAGAGATGAAGGATTTCCCCCAAAGTCACACAGAAATGACAGAGGTGAGTGCAGACTTAAATCAAACTTGTGACCATCATGGTATTGCCTGCATGTTGCTGCCTTTTTGACTTAGGATTTATTGAGGTCAAAACTCCTGAAATGAAATCAGTGGATATTTCATTTACAGTGATGTACCTATCCTTTGTACATAGTTGTATTGACAGTGAAAGGGGCAGTTATGGAAGAAATAATAATTTTATATGCCAGGGACTTCTGATCTGCAGGGGGAAATGTTAAGCACAGATTATTTAAAAAGATAAATTCATTGTCAGGTTTAAGGTTTTTGAAGTGAAATGAATATAATATGTTCATTCACCAATTCTATTATTAGTTTTATTGATTACTATTCTCTATTTTTATTCTGACAGCTGTTAGAAAATCTGTAGGTAGATAGGGTGCAACTGACTTTAGATCCCATAAATGTACCAAAGTTCATGCTGAATCATATTACGTAGACTGAATCATTTTTGGGACAGTTGCCAGATTCTCATCCCCATCAAAGTCATCTGCTGACAGAGTGCTCTGGTAGTCTGCATAGATTAATTTCTGTATCTGGGACCATAAGTATTGGAGTCAGAGTTGTTTTATTAATTGGAGCAAACTTGAAGGCATATACTCACCGGGAGAACTTGTTTAAAAAGATTGTTGGTCCCTGCCCTGGTTTTTGGAATCAAGTTCTGTGATGAAGCTGGGAATTTGTATTTCTGATAAATTCTCGGAGAAGTTAATGCTGCTGGTCTGAAGACTACTCTTTGAAAAATTCTGTCTTGCAGAAAATGGCTACCAATAGGAAGCTGTGTAGGTCCTTGCCCATGAAAGAACTTGTATTGACATACAAACTCTTTAAAAAAAATAGTGACTCTGGTAGGCTCCCTTCTATGGAATAAACTGTGAGATATGTACTTGGTATACATTTAAGGAGGTAAGTGTTCTCAAGAGGACAGTATACTGAATAAGTGTAATTTTAAAAATTTTCTGAGATGAACCAAAGGAAATGGCAGAGATGATACTTTTAGGAAGTTACAAGGAAAATAATTTTTTAGAAATTTAAAAAAATGACAACTAATTCATATCAAACTATTTAAGTTTTTTTTTCTACTAATGTCCATAGTAAAAAGTTATTAGAAAAACTTATGCCTTAAAATATATTTTAATCTGGAGAGATTAAAAAGTATAAAGTAATGGGTTTTCTAAATATCTTTTCAAATCATTTAAAAAGATAGGTTTGGGATACATTATCCTGATGATGCATAATAAGTGCTTAATCTTCACTGTGCATAGGCTTAGGTAATTTGTTTTCCTTTATTGAGATAATTGATAAATATTAATCTAGACTTTAATGTGATGATGCCCCTTCTGGAGAATGCCACGTGATTTGAGTTGTTTTCCAGTGTAAGTGTTTGTCTAAGATTTTGAGTTGCTCAGGGGGAAAAAAAAGCCACTCAGTATACCTATTGGTCATGTAGCAAGAAAGTCCAAGGACAGAATTGACTGGATCCTTGGGACCCAGATGATGTTATTAAGGTGCTGTGTGTTTCTTAGTAGTTCAATTCTCCATATCTTGTTCCAGTCTCAGCTTGGTTCTGTGTAGTAAGTAGCACAAGATGATCAAAGAAAGCCATCACTCACAATCATGGAGGAAGAAGGAAACCCACTTTCTTCCATACTCACCTAACTTTTAGAGAAATCCTGGTGCATTCCACTTGTAAAGAGCTTGCTTGGAAGAGTGGCTGTAAACCATGGTTTCTCAAGCTTGACAGTACTTTTCCACTTTGAGCAGATGATTTTTAATTGTGATGGACTACCTTTTGTACATTGTTGGATGTTCAACAGTATCTCTGTAGTTGCTAATTTCCCTGCCCAGCTCCCCTCCCCAAGTGTGACAACCAGAGATATCTCCATACATTACAAATTGTTCCTTGAGGGACAGTATCATTCTTGGTGGAAACCTCTGTTATGAACTGTAGTACTTACTGGAACCATGTAAGATGTGATGTAGCACAATGGTCTATTAACCCAGCATAGAAAGGGCAGACCAAATAATAGGTTGTTTATGATTAGGAATTTCTTGCTGTACTTAATAATCCTCCCCCTGGTTCTGGTTGCCTAGGATTCTACTTATTTGCTCTACTTATTAATCCTCCCCCTGGTTCTGGGTTGCCTAGAATTCTCAGCAGTCTAGGATGAGTGAACATAATAAAACTGAGGCCTAATTTCATCTTAGTAATGTGGTGTGCTCTGAGCTTAACTAGCAATTGGCTCTGTAACAAATAGCAAGTGTGTATGTGCACATACTTAAATATTCATTAACTGTACACTTAAATGTGTATATTTTATTGTTTGTAATTATACCTTAATAAGATGATGAAGGGAAGGCACATTTGGAAGGGAAAGCACATCTTGTCTACAAAATGTACAAGAATATGATTTAAAAAAAGAAAATATATATATATATATTTAGTTGTAGTTGTACACAATACCTTTATTTTATTTATTTTAATGTGGTGCTGAGGATCTAACCCAGCACCTTACACATCCTAGGTAAGCGCTCTACCACTGAGCCACAACCCCATAAAGAATATGATCTTTAACTGTAAATTTGTGATTGATTCCCCCCCACCCCCCACCCCCGGAACCCAAACAGGATAGTGTTGAAGTTTTAGTATGCTTATATACCAAAATATTAATAGTGAATTAATATAAGATCTATTTAATGCAGTATATTTTCTTAAAATTTCCACATTCACAGTATTAGTGCCTATTGATTACTTTCAGTTCAGTTTATAAATAGATGGGTAATTAGAAAGAATTTGGCATGTAAAATGGATTTTTCTACTAGTGTTTATAATCTTCACTGTTTTCCTAATAATTTATTCCTTTTGGAAATCCAGATGTAAATAAATGCTAAAGCAGTCACAGGCATATGAATTATTGTATATTGATTTCTCTGGTCCTTGTCTTTAAGAAAAGTCATTACCAGAATTTTCTCAACCTTTGAAAAAAGTGGAGGAGGAACAAGAGGCTGATGAAGAAGATGTTTCAGAAGAGGAAGCTGAAAGTAAAGAAGGAACAAACAAAGACTTTTCACAGAATGCTATAAGACAACGCTCTGTGGGTCCATCATTGTCCACTGATAAATCCTAGTTAATTTTTGTGGATATCTTAATATCATGATTTTAAAAAAACTGAGGTTTGATCATTTGTTTTTATGTGAACTGTGACTTGCTTATGTATTACAGGGTTCAATCCAGATTGTTGGATTGAACAGTTTTCATTAAGAAAATAAAAGCAGGTATAAAAGTTTATAATATGATTTAAGAACATTATGGTTGTTTAATTAATGTTTAATTTAAAAAAATCTGGTGCCAAGCAATAAGATTTGTACATGTTTGTTTAATAACAACCTGTTTCAGTCTGAATTGAAAAAATTACATTTTCCAAAGTTTGCATTATTGGGGTATTTAAGATTAGAGAAAAAGATTTCTCATTTGGTATGATTTTTCTCAGTTTCACTGTGTGAAAAAAAAAAGAACATATTTTCCATAAGTGGGAACTTTTTGCCCATTGTCTTGAGAAACACATATTTCAGTGATAATTCTGTGGTCTTTTAGAGACATAGTTCAAAATTTCCTCATATTTTAAAAATTATGCAACTAATAAAAAACTACCTTGCTTTAATTATACTTTTCTGCAGATTATATACAGAATATGCTACTGATTGAGGGAGTTTTTATAAGTGTAGGTATTCTCTTGATTCCTAATAAGGTCAATTGCTTTTTTGGTTGTTATTCCTTTGGTCACTGTATGGTTTGTATTTTTTAATTTCCCATCTCAAATTGGATAATATGAACAGTATCACTGTTACATTTACTGTTGGTAAATAGTACTTTTTTGTTTCAAATTGAAGTTTACTAAGAGAAATCCGTCAAACTGAACTATATTGATAATTTAAAATTTTAGTCATTTAGTCCAGATTTTACATTATTATTGTTGAGACTTGTCTTGAATATTTTGATTTTGTTCTTTTTCTTTTTTCTTTTTGTTATTAATGTAAAGGTGGACATTCCTGATTTTCATTTGAGATAGAAAAACTTTGGTATTTTATACTTGGGAAGTGCAAAGCTTAATTTGATATAAAATAAAGTTTGCTTTCTACTCAGGAAAAAACATCTTCTCCTGTATATTTTCAGAGTATCTTTGTCCTATGTTCAGAAAATTAATTGATTTTGTAGTTAGTTTCTGCTTGGTGTTTTAAAATTTTAACATTTTTATGCTTTTTAAAAGATAAACTTCATATTCTATTGTTCTTGACTGCTATTCTGTGGTATTTCTCAGGTGGAAGTCAGCAAGAGGAATACATAGTTTTCACCTTACATCAAGTAGAGGGTTTATTGGAGGGTTGTATAACAAGAATAGGAACACCCATAAATACTCAGAATGAATAATTCAGCCATTTTGTAATAGATTATTTCTGTAAAATCGTCAATTTTAAGGTTCTCTTTCTGTGTGAATTCATTACACTTGCAGTATCTTTAGTGTTCAAGTTTTATTTAAAGGCTTCTCTTCAAATATTAAATATGCTGCCATTGAATGGTCTGGATATGTAATTTGTGATGCCTTAGAAAAAATTTCTAAGCACAAAATAAATTTTTCTAAGCACTTCATTAAACCTGAAGACCAGTATGATTTCTAGTTGCACATTTCAAAGTATGCTTAATTTCTTTGTATTTAACAATGTTTAAGATGAATTGCTGTGCGTTGCTGTATATGTACTTTATATGTGCAATCAAAGGCTGGGTTCTTTTTCTGTTATTTGACATGATTGAAGAAAATGATGCTTCTTAATCATTCTTTTTTTAGCATTCTTGTATCTGACATTGTCAGATTTTTAACTAGAAAATGTGATGACAGAAAACTAAATGTAGGCAAACAGGTAGGGTCTTGATATTTCCATAAACATATGATCTCAGTTGTTGAAGATTGTCACTGTAGAAATCTGAATGCTTTTCTGTTGATACTACAGGCTTCCAAAACCTATATGAAGTCATTGACAAGTGGTTCAGGAGTGAGTAATGTGCAGTGCCAATGATATCCTGGCTCACTCACTCCATAATCATTCAGCTTTACCACTGAAGTATCATATAATCTGGTCTCTAGAGAAAATGCAGTATTCTTCCACATATTGCCTAGTGTTTATTGGTAAAACTAAAAAAAGAGTCTTAATGAAGATTCCCGAGTGTATATCAATATTATAATTTGGATAAGATGTGTTACCCTGACAGTCATGGTTAGATTCTGAAAGATGTAACTTAAATGGTGAATTAATTCATTTGATGGATTAATGATTTGAAAGGACTACTGTGCTGGGTAGTAACTATGGGCAGGTGCGGTGTGGCTAGAGGAACTGAGTCACTGGGGGCAAGTCTTTGAGGATTGTGTTGTCCCCTGGCTCTTCCCTTGCTTTCTGCTTCTACGCCGCCATGTCCTGAGATGCTTTCTTCTGTCATGGCATTTCACCTGACTTTATGCCTAGAGCAATGGATTTGGCCTATGATGGACTGAAATCTCTGACCTGAAAATAAACTTTTTCTCCTCTAGGTTATTCTTGTCAGATATTTTAATCACACTACTAAAAAGAAATTGACTAACAATTAAATACCCATACCAACAAAGAGTACTTTATGGAGTTTTGTTTTTCTTTATTAATTCAGTTAGCCCTAACAACTATCACATGTCTTTCGGGAGAACAGGCTCACAGATATGGTAGAAATAGGTAGAATTTGAATCCCGTTCTGATTCCAAATCTTGACCTTTCCCTAAGAGCATGAGAACTCAGCAATCTATTTTTCTCTCAAATCTATCATACTGTAGCAACAAATGCTATTCAGAAATACCATAATTATTCAGTATTTGTAGTTTTATGATGGTGGTTACCTGCATAAAGTTACTACAGTAAATGATGGTTTTGATAGTTTTTTTCTCAACTTGTGTCCTCAAGCTAATGCATAAAGGCATAGTTCTTGACTTGAATATGATGAGGTAAACATTTTTGAATGAACCTTTTAACTCATTAGGAAAGTTTGTAAGGTAGAATTTTTTATTCTCAAAGTTTATAAGGTAGAACTGCTTTTGATTTGAAATTTTACAAGATAATGTGAGTTGGAATTTAAATGAAAAGTCTTCATGATTATGTAATTCTAAATAAAAATTTGTATTGAAAATTTTGCAGATTTAGATAAGTTGATATTACATATCAAGCACCTTTTTTATTTGAAATAACAAAACTAGAGCAACAATGTAAGTTTGAAGTTTGGTAGTATGTAAGTCAAGTTATATACATGAATAAGTCTAACATTCTATTTAAAAATAGTTTCATTCATTTACTGAAAATGGTAGTAGTATTTTGGCCATTAATGAAATAAGCTTATATCTCCTTTCTACCCAGTTAGCCATGACATTTCTTTTAAACCTATTTTCATAGTTACTACAACTCAACCTTATTCTGTATTGGAAGTGAAAAAATGAGAAATGATGATGTAAGAAATGATGAAAGAAGTTTGATTGATCTAAAACATAATCGAGTCATAATTTTAAATTCAATGGAAATATACCTCATTTTGAAGAATAACTTAAGCAAAGTCAGTTTTGCTGTTGCTTTTGTGTGTTCTTCAAAACGTTCCTGGCTTCAGTGTTTTTAGCAAAACATATTAAAATATTACTAGTAGGCAGGATGCTAGGAACTTGGATTTAATAGCTCAGGTACTTAGGAAGATTCAACTTAATGCCACCTGGGCATTCCTAAGAAACTTCCCTTAAACTTTGGATGTCTTTCTTTTTCCCCAGAATGAAATTATTTATTTCTTGGAAATTTTATTTTTGTAGTACTGGGGATTAAACTCAGAGTGCTATACCACTGAGCTACATCACCAGCCCCTTTGCCTTATTTTTGAGACATGGAATCTTGTTAAGCTTCCCAGCCTGGTCTTGAATCTTCTGCTTGTATTTATTCTCATACCATTAAATCACTGAACTAATGTCACATCCTTCACAGAAGAAGCCATCTCCCTCCATCCATATACTTCAGGAGAAGCTGGCTCCTTTCTGGCCTACTGGGCTTTAGTTTCTATTATGAAGACACAGGCTACCGATACTGTAATAGAAATACTCAATAGATTTGAGATATTGTGGGCTTCTTAAAAAGGCCCTGGGATGGGGCAAAGAAAATGAGGCTTAGATAATAGTGAAATTTGGTATTACCTGAATGTGACACATAGAATTTTGTGTCTATCCTGTAGCCTGGGGATGAAGCCAATAAGCAGGAGGGCAGAGCCAGAATAATCTTGTAAAAGGAAAGCTAGCAAGCCCTGGCATAGCACAGCTTACCTCTGGACATCTTGAGATACTAAATTACCTAATCATTTTGAGTAAGACTCTTCAGTTACTTGAAACTAAAATGTGAACATAGCTATCACCTCTCTGGACTTTGTAAACAATGGTGTCTTGATTTACCTTAACCTGGTTCAGTTTCATGTCTATTTCATTATCTGAGAATACTTCAAGCCATGCTTTACATCTCACTGGGTCATTCCAAGATCAGGAGAAAAAAATTAACTCATGGGCCAAGTCAGACATGTCCTGCACTCATACTGGGTAATGGAAGGTTAAATGAATATAGTTTGGGGAACTTTTTTGAATTGTTTTTAATTTATAACACTAATGTCCCATAATCATGAGAAATCTGAGAAGCAAAAATATTGTGTGTTGTGTTCAAGTGTAGCTGTTCTGTGTGAAATCAGGATAAAAGACTTGTTCAGCTTTTAAAATCCTTGTATGTTTAGATTTTAATGCATTGTGACCAAATTTCTTATGTATGTATCATTTTAGACAATAACTTCAGTCTTCTGAGAGTGGGAGCAATACAGGTTTGAAGATGCTGAGAAGGCTTTGTTATTTTTTCCTTGTAGGGAGGAAGAAGGAAATGGTGGGGTATGTTTATGTCATCTGGAATGGTTGTTGATTTAATGTTTATGCAAGTGGATTCTAGTTGAACAACCCTAATGCCAAGTACTCTGTAACTTGCATTATAACTTAAATAATTTTTGAAGTCTTATTTTGCAAACTTGTCAAGAATGATTACTTTTTTAAATGTTTTTTTTTTCAAGCTCCTTGTCAATGCATGCTTGCTTGAATCTTATGCTTGGCACTATGAACAGAAGGACCAGTTGGATATACTGAGGTTCTGTAATTTTTTTTTTTTAAATGTTGGTTATAAAACAGTAACAAGAAGTGCCCAAGTTCATGAAGATCATAGTATCTTGGCACTATGTAGCACTTAATAAATATATGTTGAATGTACTTTTTCATTTAGCTATGTTTACCACTGATCTTGAGTTACAAAGAAAGCCCTGATTCTGCTGGTTGTACCGTGTTATTTTATTAATAACATTCTGCATGATTCCTATGAATTTGCCTTATTTTTAATGTGAAGTATTGTGAAAACACTATATTCCTGCTTTATGGATACAAGAGTATTTTACCTTTGATCCTTAACTTTAAGTGGATAAGGATGACTGACTGGTATTGGTTGCTAATATTACTTATGGTGATATAAATATTTACTTGAATATAATAAATATATATTATATTCAAGTAAATTTAGGAAATCCAGGTACAAAGGTAATATTATTTGGAGCCTGGCTTAAGGTGCATTGATTTGGATCCTTGTTTATGACAGGAAAAATTTGGGGTTAGGGTTTTAATGTGAAACTAAATAGTCATTCAAAGCTATAGTTCTGAGAACGGAATATTTACTTTGATTAGGGTAAGTTCAGTAGTGTTCAGATAAATGAGAAAGTTCTGGAATAATAAAATTATTTGCACCTTTAGCTTCATGGGCAACTTTCCTAGAATACTAATGCCTTGTGAATGAAGATGGCTGAATGATAAAGTTGCTAATAACAGGGACAATAAGCCACGTGGGTACAGATGGTTTCATTCTTGATTATCCCCTTTGTGGCATAATATGAAATATATATATATATATATATATTTGGTTTCTGACCCTGGTTCTTGAGATAATTCCTAAATCATGTAATTTCCTTAGTGATAGGATGATAGGGCCATCTTTTATTATGGAGGTTCCGTTATACAGGTAGAATGGATTAACCATCTTTTGTTATAATATCTTTCTTGGTACCTAATACAAGAGCTTCTTAGACATGTGGCATCCCTGTAATGAGTAGTGAATGTCTTTTTTGTTTATTAGTGAGATGAGTGGTGGCTGAAAAATCCCAGCTAGGATGAGGGCTGGTTGCCAAAGGAACCAACTGTGTGTTTAGAAGGTGGAGACTTAAAGTTTCACTTCTTTGGAAGAAAACAGAAGCTGGAGATTGAGTTCAGTCACCCATGCCAGTGATTTAATCCATTCTACCTGTATAATGGAACCTTCATTAAAAAAACTCAATAACTTTCTCCATGGTCAGCTTTATTTTCAAGATTATATTTTGTCGTCTTTGCCTGAAACTCATGTCTTCCACGTGGTCTAGACGGTTGGTGATACCTTCCATGGAATTTTTAATTTGGTTTATTGTCTCCTTCATTTTGAGGTTTTCTACTTGACTCCCCTTGCCCCTAGAATCTCTATTGAAAATACTTCTTGTAGTTTCTCCATGATTTCACTCCTTAAATCCCCCTGTGCCTTGCAGATCAGTTTAACTATGTACATTCAAATGTCCTTCTCTGACATTTCTTCCACTGTGGCATCCATGGATTCTGTTATTGAAGTGTCTTGATTTGCTTGGGGTGATTTTTTTTTTCTTCATGTTGTTTGTGTGCCTACCCATCTAACAGTATTGGTCTGAGGCTGTAGAGTTTCTACCTTGTGGACTTACTGTGTTCCCAAAGGTTCCTGGCTCGGAGTTACAAACCAAAGGAATGCAGTCTTTTCAAAGAAATAATATCAGAGAATTCTCCAAACCTAAAGAATGAAATGGAAAATCATATACAGGAGACATATAGGACCCCAAATATACAGTTATAGAAGACCCACACCATGGCACATTATTATGAAAGTGCCTAATGTACAGAATAAGGATAAATTTTAAAGGCTGCCAGAGAAAAATGACAGGTCACAATTTAGAAGGAAACCAGTTCTTATCGCAGCAGATTTCTCAATCAAGACCCTCAAAGCTAGGAGGTCTTGGAATAATATATATCAAACTCTGAAATGAAATGGATTCCAGCCAAGAATATTTATCCTGCTTAATTCTGAACTAAGCTTCAGAATTGATGAAATAAAAATCTTTCATGATAAAAGAATTTACAAGTAGAAAGCCTGCACTAAAAACATACTCAATAAGATATTTCATGAAGAAGAATGAAAAAGAAACATGAAAACCAGCAAAAGGAGTAAATACACTAGAATAATAGTCAATCAAAGGAGAAACTAATTCAAATTTAAAATGAAAAAGTGACAGGGAATAAAATCATTTCTCAATAATTATATAGAATGTAAATGGCTGAAACTCATTAATCAAAAGACACAACAAATTGGGTTAAAATCCAATACCCAACAATATACTTTTTCCAAGAGACTCAG